TGCACGCACTCTCCTTGGGCGCGCAGGGCTGCCGGATCCGTTTTGGGTGACTGCACTGCAGAAGGTCGCCCTTGTGAAGAACAGGGTACTGGCGACTGTGGGGGACAAGCAGTGGGTCCCCTACACCAAGTGGTATGGGAGTGCTCCAGCTGTGAGGGAAAAGCTGGAAGCTTCTGGGAGATGGGGTGTGCATTTGGGGATCGCAAAGGACCACAAGAGCTGGCTGCTATGAGACTTGACCAGCCAGCAGCTGAATGTGTCAAGGGATGTGAAGTTTCTTGAGTCCCTGTACTACAAGGAGTGGAAGCAGCAGCAGCAGAAGCTTCCTACTACACTGCTGATCGTTGAGGCTGATGAGGTACAGCGGCCTTCGAGGCAAGTGGAGGTTTCTGTCTCAGAGGAGGAGATTTCTGGGGTGACTGCGGATGGGGGAGAACCTGGTGGAGGAGCAGTAGCAGCAGCAGCAGCAGCCGCAGCAAGGTGCTCCACCACGTGCCCCACGTCCGCCTGACCGTCCTTGGAGGGATGTGCGACCTCCTACCAGGCTGACATATCCAAGTCGTGGCACGCCAAAGGTGGTACGAGCTGGGAGTGTGGCTGAGCAGTGTGATGAGGATGAGATAGCACACTGCTATTGGGCAGCCGTCCTTGATCCCAAGACGCTAGCTGAGGCTCTGAGCGGGCCCGATGCTGAAAAGTGGAAGCAGAGTGTGAAGGAGGAGTATGACTCACTTTTGGAGAACGAGACTTGGGAGTTGTGTGAGCTGCCTCCTGGGAAGAAGGCCATTTCTTCAAAGCTGATTTTCAGGCACAAGTATGAACGTGATGGGGAGCTGGCCCGCTACAAGTCAAGGCTTGTGGCAAAGGGTTTTGAGCAGACAAAGGGGAAGGATTTTGACGAGGTGTTTGCTCTAGTGGGGAAATGGACAACACTGAGGGTGATGTTGGGAACGGTTGCAAACCGCGGATGGAGGATCAAGCAGATGGACACCACGACTGCTTTCATCAATGGGATCATCCTAGAGGAGTTGTATATGCTGCAGCCTGAGGGGTTGGATGATGGGAGCGGCAGGGTGTGCAGGCTGAAGAAAGCCATCTATAGCTTGAAGCAGGCTCCTTGCGCATGGTACCACAAGCTTGAGGAGACACTGCTGGCTGGGGGATTAAAGTAGAGCGAGTGCGATTCCAGCTTGTTCCTGCTGCAAGAGAAGGGGCAGTTCCTTATGCTCTTGGTGTATGTGGACGACATCGTTCTCTTATCTGAGTCGTGTGCTATGATTGACCGTGTGGAGGAGATGCTGGAGATGCAGTTCAAGTGCTCGAAGATGGAGGATGTGAAGTATTACCTGGTATGCATGTGGAGAGAGACCTTGACAAGGGAGTGTTGAGGTTGCACCAGAGGAAGTACTACGAGGGGCTGGCTCAGAAGTATGGGCTGCAGGATGGAGGAAATCCAGCAACCCCACTGCCTTCAGGGTTCACTGTGGAGCCCTGTGCTGATGAGGAGGTGGTAGGTGAGAGTGACAGGAAGCTGTTTCATTCCATGGTTGGGGCACTCAACTATGCGGCGAATCACACACGGCCTGACATTTCCTTTGCTACATCCAGGCTTGCCAGTATGGTCTCACGCCCCAGTCATGAGCAGCTGGAAGCGGCCAAGAGGTTGGTCCGCTATGTGAGTGCTACAGCATCTGTGGGTTTGGAGTATATTGCAGTGAGGCAAAGGCAGCATCGGAGTGCTGCTGATTTGAGCAAGGGGGAGATGCTCTTGACCTGCTACACTGACGCTAGCTTCAACTTTGTGATGGAGGATGGCACCAGCATTGGAGGTTATGTGTGCCTGTTTGGAGGTGGTGCAGTGAGCTGGCGCAGCAAGAAGCAGAATGAGGTGGGGCCGTCTTCATTTGAGACACAGTACATGGCCCTTCATCATGGGGCCAAGGAAGTAGTGTGGCTGAGGCGTCTGCTGGAGGAGATCGGGGTTGGACAGGAGGACCCGACTGTGATATTCTGTGACAATGTGTCGGCCGTGAAGCTGGCCAAGAACGCTTGTCTTCATGGGCTGACAAAGCACATCAGGCCCAAGTGGCACTGGGTGAGGAGGCGCCTGGACAAGGAGGTGCGGCTGGAGATAGTGAAGACCCAGCAGCAGGCGGCTGATATTCTCACCAAGCGCCTGGCTGAACCTGGGCATTGGAAGGGCATGAAGCTTGCTGGAATGAGTGCACATTGAGTGTACATGCATGAGCTGAGGCATGTGGGATGATGGTTGGCAGCCAGAGGGGGAGTTTGTTATGTGATTCTATCATTTGTATTCACGTCTGTCTGTCTCCCATCCTATTTTTCTACCTTGCATGCGTGGTCTGCGCGCGTGTAAGAATTTATGTTTGGCATGGTTTGGATGTTGTGAGTGTGTGTGAATGGTACTTTTGCTTGAGCAGATATATGAAATGACTCCTCTGCTCGAGAGCTTTCCGACGAACCAAGAATCGTCGCTATCGGAGCAAGAACGAGAAAGTTATGATCGTTCGAAGTATTGATTGTGGTGCAGCGACTATGGGAATTGGTAGAGTGACTCTATATGGGGTATAGACTTTTGGGGGTTGGGAAATTCGTCATTTTTACTGTAGTTGCTGCCAAGTGGTTGGGAGAAGCCAAACCATGTTGACAAGTGTGGCCAACTTGAGAGGTTGGGAAAAAGACAAGGCTGAAGGTTGGGTTCATATAGGGAGGGAATCTTGTGAGCATATGGGGTTTTCTTGGTTGGGACTCCCTAGGGACCTTCCCTTTCGTCCTCCTCATCCCCTCCTACCTGGTTTATAGCTACTCTTATTCTCTTGTGTGGATCTTGATTGATAATTGTTATTGAGTTAAGTTAGAGCTCCAGCGTACCCCCTAGTCCACCGAAATTCATAACTCGAGAAATACTTCACCTTTTGATACGATTCAAATTGGGAATTGTAGCCATAGACAGCTACAACATATTTGAAATGGGTGAAGTTTCGACAGTTCGTTTTTCGTCGACGACGTTTCTTGTGAAGTCGACAAATTTGTCCAGAAACTTAGTCCAACGATTTTGAGTTATTTCGGCCCCTAATCTTCATAGACTTCGTCCTTAATCACTAACACAAGTAACCTCCTCGACGAGGTTATGAGGAGGCACGCGAATGTCGTCGAGGCTGGGATGGCGAAGGCGACATCGGGCTGGTATCCTGAGGTCGACGTGGAGCGTCAGCCGCAACCGTCGGCACGTGGCCGACTTGAGACCTGCGCGACAGTGCATATTGTGTGTTATGTGATGCTGTCATTTGCATTCACGTCTGTCTGCCACCCATTCTATGTTCGTATGTTGAATGCGCGGTGTGAGCGTGTGCAAGAATTTGTGCTCCGTGTGGTTTGGACTTTGTGAGGGTGTGTGTGAATGTTATTTTGCTTGAGCAGATATCTTAAAAGACTTCTTTGTTCAAAGGCTTTTCGACGAACCAAGAGTCGTCACGATCGGAGCACGGACGAGAAAGTTACGAACGGTTGAAGTTCGTATTTTTTCTTTATTTGGTTGTGGCGACTTTGGGAATTTGTGGAGTGACTCTATATGGGTTATATACTTTTGGGGGTTGGGAAATTCGTCACTTCTACTGTAGTTAATGCCAAGTGGTTGGGACAAGCCAAACCAGGTTGGCAAGTGTGGCCAACTTGGGTGAGGTGGATTTGAGAGGTTGGGAAAAAGACAAGGGTGAAGGTTTGGTTCCTATAGGGAGGGAAACTTGTGAGCATATGGGGTTTTCTTGGTTGGGACTCCCTATGGACCTTCCCTCTAGTCCTTCTCATCCCCTCCTACCTGGTTTCTAGCTACTTAATTTCTTTTATGTGGTTCTTGGTTGAACAATTGTGATTGAGTTAAGTTTCAGCTCCAGCTTACCCCCTAGTGCGCCAAAAAGCATAACTCATGAAATACTTCACCTTTTCGTGCGATTCACCTAGAGCTATAACATATCTGAAATGAGTGAATAACAGTGAACGTTTCGTCGACGGCGTTTTTTGTGAAGTCGACATTTCTGTCCAGATTTTTAGTTTAACGATTTTAAGTTATTTCGGCCCCTAATCTTCATAGACTCCGCCCTTAGTCTCTAACAATGTGCTCGACCGTTGCCGCGCGCCTGCGAAGTGGGTGCGCAACTACGCTACTGTCACATGCAGATGCAACGTTGGCTGACCGCCTTGGTGCAGCATTGGCAAGCCGCCAACTTGCTCTGTTGGCAGGTCGCCCTTTGCAAGACTGTCACGGTTCCTCTACGCAACGCTGGCAATTGTCGACCTTGCTGCGCTGGCGGTCGACCAGCTTGCGTGCTGATGTAGTCATTCTTGCTATTGCTTATTCAATGTTTTTGTTATGCAACTTTCTCTAATGAAACTCTTGCCAATTCTTCTTGTGAATGTGCAAGTGCTAGTGATCACAGACAAAGCTACGATCACACTCACAACTCATGCCAACCCCGTAGTCTAGCTCCCACTGTTGTAGAGTGAATCTCCGCACCGCTTTCTTTTCTCGTCTCGCCTCCCCATATCCTCATCTCGCCTCCCAATCTCCTCAACCCCTTTTCCCTTCTCCTCATTTGGCCTTCCATCTCCTCGCCCCGCTTCCCCATCTCCTTATCCCGCCTCCCCATCTCCTCATCCCGCTTCCCCGTTTCCTCATCCCGCAACCCCATCTCCTCATCCCGCCTTCCCTTCTCAAGGTCCTGAGTCCCCATGACAGCTGCCTCCCTCCCCATCTCGCCTACCTCCTTTCCTCTAATCGTGGTCAATAGTATGATGTTTGACGACATTAGTTGCACTTCTTTGTAGTGGTCAACTGAATGGCTGCTCAGTATCCATAAGAAGACTGACGTGTTTTATTCTAAAGAAGCATCCAAATTTTATACATGGCTACTTATACTATAAAGCAGCTAACGCATAACAAGTACATGCACAGCAAACCTCTACAAGCAAAATCAGGAGTGTCAAGACAGAGAAACAGAGAGGAAAGAAGGCAGTGAGAAAGAGAAGAAGAGAGAAATGAGGGGAAGAGAGCAAGCGAGGAAAGGAAGGGAGCAAGCTAGGAAAGGGGGGGAAGGAGAGTAGGAAATGAGAGGAAGTAGTGGGGGAAACGAGGGGAAGGAGAGGGAGAAACGAAGGGAAGGAGAGGGGGAGATGAGGGGAAGGAGCTGGGGCAAAACGAGGGGAAGGAGAGGAGGAAACGAGGGGAAGGAGAGGGGGAAATGAGAGGAAGGAGAGGGGGGAACGAAGGGAAGGTAGGGAGGGGGAAATGGGGGGAGGGAGGGGGGGAAGCGAGGGGAAGGAGAGGGGAAACGAGGGGAAGGAGATGGGAAACGAGGGGAAGGAGAGGGGGAAATGAGGGGAAGGAGAGGGGGAGATGGGGGGGAGGATAGGGTGAAACGACGGGAGGAGAGGGGGAAACGAGGGGAAGGAGAGGGGGAAACGAAGGGAACGAGAGGGGGAGAGGAGGGGAAGGATCTGAGGGAAACGAGGGGAGGGAGAGGGGGAAACGAGGAAAAGGAGAGGGGGGAATGAGGGGAAGGAGAGGGGGAAACGAAGGGAAGGCAGGGAGGGGTAAATGGGGGGAAGGAGGGGGGGAAGCGAGGGGAAGGAGAGGGGGAAACGAGGGAAAGGAGAGGGGGAAATGAGAGGAAGGAGAGGGGGAAATGGGGGAAGGATAGGGGGAAACGAGGGGAAGGAGAGTGGGAAACGAGGGGAGGAAGGAGAGGGAGAAGCGAGGGGAAGGAGAGGGGGAAATGAGGGGAAGGAGAGGGGGATATGAGGGGGAGTAGAGGGGGAAATATGGGGGAAGGATAGGGGGAAACGAGGGGAAGGAGAGGGGGAAACGAGGGGAAGGAGAGGGGGAACGAGGGGAAAGAGAGGGGGAAACGAGGGGAAGGAGAGGGAGAAACGATGGGAGCAAAGGGGGAAATGATGGGGAGCCGAGGGAGAATTTGTTTACGGGAGTTGGCCCCGCCCTCGCTTGCGCGAAGCCGACTTCGTGGTCGGGTGCGCGGGAGACCGTCTGCAGTGGACGACGCCGACTTGGGCGAGCAGGTCGACGAGGTCGGTCGACCTGCGCGGGGGCCACTGCGAAGCCGCCGACGACGGGAGGCCGGCAGTCGACTTCGACCGAGGTGGTCGACGAAGGGGTTCGTCGACCTGGTTCGACTGGTCGACGGCGTAACCATGAGGGCGGCGAAGTCCCGCGAGGGTGCGCGGACGTCGCCCAAGAGATTCTGGCAAAGCCGACCTCGGGCTGGTATCCCGAGGTCGACGTGGCTCGTCAGGCGCAACCAATGGCACGTGGTCGACTTGGCAGCTGCGAGTTGTGCGTGGCGTTGCACGTCGTGCACAACCGTCTACAAGCACCTGCGAAGTAAATGCGACCATGTGCGCTAGTGTCACCTGCGGTTGTTACGTTGGCAGGCCGCACTGCAGCAGCGTTGGCAAGCCGCCGACTTGCTCTGTTGGCAGGCCGCCTTTCTGCAACGCTAGCGCGGTGCCAACCTGTAGTGCTGGCAGGTCGCCGACTTTGTTGCGCTGGCGGTCGACCTGCCTGTGTGCTTGCAAACTTTGCATCTGATGTAGTCATCCTTGCCATTGCTTTTGCTATCATTATGTTGAACTCTTGCTAGTGAAACTCTTGCCCTTTTGCCCCGTGAACACGCAAGTGCTAGAGAACACGAGCAAATGCTACGATCACTCGTACCACCTTTTCCCCTCGTAGCCCAGCTCCCGGTGTAGTCTAACTCTCGGCATGAATGATGGGGAGACGTGGGAAACATGGTGGGGAGAAGAGGGAGAAATGATGGGGAGGACACGGGGAAATGATGGGGAGAAGTGGGGGAAATGATGGGGAGCAGAGGGGGAAATGATGAAGAGCAGAGGGGAAATGATGGGGAGTAGAGAGGGAAACGATGGGGACCAGAGGGGGAAACAACGTGCTAGTAGGGGGGAAGCCACCACGCTGAAGCCTCCCCTCCGGTCATCATCGCGCCTAGTAGTGGCAGAGCTACCAGCACAGCAGCAGGGACCGATCCCTCGCCGCAGGAGCTGGCGACGATCTGACCGGCAGAATTGCGTGCATGCGACGCCTGCCTGCGGGATTCGTCCAAATCATTCGGAACGACGTCACAGAAACGTGCGATAGCTGCGAGCTTGGCACCAGCTCCGGGTCCATCCCTGAACTCGAGCCAGAGTGCGGATGCGCGCTGTGAGTGAGAATCCGACTGCGCGTGCTTGTTATTGCCTGAACACAGAGGCCGTGCTCAGTACGTTGTCACGCAGCGCAATCAGGGTCCTCGTTATCAGACCGAATTGGTCCGATGGTATGAAAATCAGACCTGCTTTTTTTTTTTGTTTCATCTGATTTTTTTGACAAACGATTTTAGTTCATCTCAACAAAAAGACCAGTTATTTTATTTTCCGTCTGAAAAATCAGACTCATGCTTATAGTTCGTCTGAGAAATCAGATAATGCGTACGTTTCCGTCTGACACGAAGTACCTGGGCCCATCACTGCTTCAAGCCGAAGCCTCCCCTCCACCAGGCCTGTCGATTCACGGACATTTGTCCGTTTTCCCTGAGAATTCAGGGTTTGTTTTAGCTCAGCTCGGAGATTTTCAAGGTTGGTTTTTCCCCCCGCCCGGATTCCTAACGGACAGGTTTTGAGGCTCTCCGGATTCCCGTACCTGCCACCCCCGTTCCCCTCCCCCCCTTTCTTCCTGACCTTAGACCGCGAACTTGTCCCTCTCCCACTCCTCCCGACAACACCAGCCCCCCACATTCCCCTAACGTACTCTGCTCTTTAGTGTATGTCTAGCTCGAATAACTTAGCATTATTACGCATGCATTCTCAGAGCCGGAAATATGATTTCCCTGAATTTACGTCCGCTTCACGGATAGCTCAGGGTTGTCGTGGCGGCAGCTCAGCTTCGTACGGGTTGGACCCAGACCAATCGATAGCCCTGCCCTCTCTTCAGCCCCTGCGCACCTTCCACCCGAAACCCTGGCACCCCATTCCCCATCCCCCCCTCTCCCCAGCCCCAGCGCACCTTGCAGCCGAAACCCTGGCCCCAAATTTCCCACCCGCCCCTCTTCAGCCCGCGCGCACACCAACCCCCTCGCTCCTCACTCACAACAATCCACCCAATCCAGATTTGGCTGGCTTCCCCAGAAGTCAACCCCCGTCCCCCGCACCTTACTTCACGACGCGCAGCCACAAATATCCCCCTCACACTCTCGCAGCCCAACCCCCCCAGCCGAACTCCTCCTTGGTTCCTGTCACCCAACACACACCCCCCTGCTCCAGTCCTGCCTCTCGCAGCCCAACAACCTGAATAAATAATCACTATATAATTGCCACCTGAAAAAATCAGACAGCACTATCTAGTTCATCTGAAAAATCAGACGTGACATTTGCATTTGTCTGATAAACCAGTCCAACTTTTTTTCCTCGTCTTAACGTCAGACGAAACGAAATTTTGTATACATACTTTCGGACGGGCTCAAATCCTAGCAAGAGCCCTGAGGGCAATACTCCATAGATGCCAATTTCAGCGAACGTAAGAGCCGACGAGCTAAGTGCGGCGCTGTGTTGCACGAGGTTCGGCTATTCGATTCTTTCGCGGCGTAGGCGCTACGAATGATCACGTCCAATGCAACGCGGTGGATCCTCGTAACGAGGATCCACAATCTCATCATAATGGAATTTTACTCAGTTGTAACTAATGGACGGTAATGTCAGTACCAGCCTTTTTACTATTGTGCTATGCAACTATTATGCCGGCCTTGCATTATGATCTCGACATCCATGGCTTCAACCCTGCGTCTAACACCGACGAGAACCTCGTACACATTTGTGTTGAACTTCTTTCCAAAGAAATATCCCCAATCACAGGTTTTTGCCAAACCATCTCGCCCCCGTTTTTTCTTTCGCACGGACGAAATCATTTTGCACACTGTATAAACTCCAATAGTACAGCCAAATGTATACTGCTCGGGAGACTTAGGAACCATAGCGTGAGTGGCGAAGGTGCACCACAAACAGGGTTTGTAATAACTACACAGCAACTATAGCTACGGACAGTTATAAGTATATATGAAAGATATATCACAACACACCCCCTAACTGCCTGCTGCACATTGTTATAGCAAGTCACACCCCCTGAAGGAGTACACCAAGGTAGAGAAAGCAGCAGAGAGCGACAGCAGCAAACCTCAGCCATGACAGATGCAGCAGCGGTGGGTGCAAGCGACGGCAGGCGTTGTGGCTGCGACGAGCAGCAGGACAGCACGGCTGAGCACCTCCGAGGGCGAGCCAGCAGCAGGCAGCAGTTGAAGCGATGGCAGATGGAGCTGCAGTAACCTCAGCCACGGCATATGCAGCAGCAACGGGTGCAGGCGACGGCAGGTGGGCGAGAGAGCAGGCGTTGTGGCTGCAACGAGGGCACAACACAGCACCTCCTAGGGCAAGCCAGCAGCAGGCAGCAGCACCAGGTGCCACGGAACGGTACGACACACGAGAGATGGGCGGACAGCAAAGGAGAAACGAAAAAGAGGGTAGAGAGAGGAGGAGCATAGGTGCAGTGGAAGGTAGAGGGAGGAGGAGCGGCTGCTTTGTCTTTCCCGCCATCCCCATACCCTCTTCCCCCCCCCCCCCCCCTCCCAATGCGGCACGCCCAGCAGTTGCTGTTGCAGCGATGAGGAGGAGGATAAGGGATGGAAGGGGGGGGGGGGGGGTGTTCAAGGGGGCTTCAATACCCCCGCAGCCTTGGTTGCCAATGCCCCCCCCCCCCCCCCCCCCCCCCCCCCCTCCCCTCCTCAAGCGGCTGCCGTAGCAGGGCGCGACAGAGATTAGGGCGGGGAGTGGGATGGCGCTGGCAGGGCGGCCAACAACCGCCGTTGGCGCTGGCGCGGACGGTTGCTGCCTCGTCCCGCGTGACGGTCGCCGCCATCAAGTTATGGATTTGGGGGCGCCATGGCCTCAAGCTGTCTTCTTGCGGCCTTGAGGGTCTTATTCCTGCTGCCGCCGTCCCGCGTGACGGTGGAGACATCCCCCGGGACGATGTGTCAGCGTCTCTGGGTAGTGCGTGAGGTGCAAAATTGTTGTAGCAGGACTGAAAGGTGGTCAGGTGCACGGGAAAATGTGTTTGTTGCGACAGATTGGGGTTGACAGGCTTTGTGGGGTGCTGAATGGAAATAATGATGCGTTTATTTGTTGCAAACAAGAGTCACAACGTAAGAACATGCATGACGTGATGGCATCGAACCCCAATAAAAAGTAAGGTATACAAATTCTAGCCAACACATCTATAACGGGTATGCGATAACGCAGGTCCGACTGAACCAGGGTGTACGGATTGTACACCGCGTTGTGCGGGGGTTAACTGGACCGTACATTTGGCGTGTTCAGCAGATTTGGCGACGCTACAGCGCACACGAGCGACTCAGACGCGACACCCGGGGCCAGTCGCGTGTGGTGCAGCTTCGTCGCAATTCGGCGTGGCGACTGTAACCACGTGTGCGGAATCCTGGTATGAGGCCCTGGTAAACAGTTAGCAGGGTGTCAAGTCGCAGGTTGCGATACGTAGTGTACACGGGACGGTAGAACTAACTAGCGTGAGAAATTGACTAAGGAATAAAATGAACAAACAAGATATAGGAAACCCTAGCAAGTGTTCTAGCACAAGTGTAACAAATTGTACAACACCTAGACTAACATATAGAAACAATATAAATATAGTTTGACACACCCCCATAGTCCAGGTGACGGCAGTCATGTGGAAAGCAACACATATCTCAGGGTGGGTCTCAAGGACACACACAGTCTGAGAGCAAGTAAGGGTCACATGACCAATCAGCAAGAACAAGCAAGGGTCACAAGACCAGTCCACAAGAACAAGACAAATCTCAGGGTGGAGCTCAAATTCACCACACACTCCGAGAACAAGCAAGGGGCCACAAGGCCAGTCCAC